GGGCTGCTGCCGCCCGCGCCCGCGCAGAAGTTCTCGGCGCTCACGGTAAGCCACCACCGCCCTGCCTTGGCCGGTCCCGCGCTCTCCTGCGGCCCAAGCGCTGGGCACCGAAGCAGGTGGACCCTGGGCGGTTGCGCTCTGCCTGCTCCAGGGGCTCGGGCAGGTGGGGCCGGCCAGTCGGAGGCATGCGCGCCAGGGGGAGATAGCCCCTGGCTGCGGGTGTGGAGAGCTGCGCTGGGAGGGTTTCGGCCCTCCCAGGACTGGACAGCTACCTGGCCCTCCCAGGACGCCGCCCAGATCCTCGGGGATGGGAGTTGGGGGTCCACGCCGGTGGCCTGCTTTCCCCACTCCCCGGTGGGCATGGACCAGCTGAGACAAGGTCTGGGAAGGCGGGCGCCACCCCGTGGACTGTTCCAGGACGGACCCACTTGGGACCAGGGTGCCTGCCTCACTCCACAGGAACCCCTGCCAGATGCCTCTGCCTGGCCTTTCTGGTTACAACGCTGTGAGGACCCAGCAGTGGCCCACTGGGTGGAGGGGTTGCAGGTCTTGGGCCCCACCCGTGGGTCTGACTCCCCCAGAGACATCCGTCTGTGAGCCCAGGAAGAATTGGAGGACTTTAAAAATAGAGATGATTTCGCTGGTCCAAGCACTCCCCAGGGAGAGCAGCGCTTCCCTTGTCCCAACCAGGGAGCCCGGTGCTGGCTGCTCTGGCGGTTCCTCTGGGGCCAGGGATGCTGCACCAACAATGGACAGGCGCACTCCTGCCCGGGCTCCTGAGCCAGCAGCGCGGTAGACCGCTGGTGTGTTTTTCTTTCTTAGCAGCAGCTTCTACCAGGCAGCCTTGGCCGACCCGGAGCGCGGTCGTGCTGAGCCCTGTATGGGGGGCTTGAGCCAAGGCCAGGCTGACCAGGCCAGCTCGGCCGCCGGCCAGCAGCAGGGCGCACGCCTGCAGCCCAGGGCTCCTGTCCTGCAGACCTCACGGGCTCCTAGGCTTTGCAAACCCATAATTAATGCAATCTGCAGAAACGAAAACATTCCACTTAAAGGTGTTTTTGAACAAGTGCTTGAGAGGCCGTGAAAGCAGGGGGCACACTGGTGGCAAGCAGCTTTCACGTGGCCAGGGGCTTGTCCTCAAGGTATTTATTGTATCGAAAATAGCGTGGTCAGAAGGGGCTGTGGTCTGGGTCCGCTTTCCAGTAAATTCAAAACAGTCTGTAGGCTTCGGGGATCTTTCTTTCTTCTCTTCTCTTTCTTTCTTTTCTTTTCTTTCTTAGCAGTGTGAGAAGGACAGAGTTAGGGAGTTCATTGTTCATACCTAAAATTCTTTCCGGCAGCCCCAGGCCCCTGCCTTGCGTCTCACAAATGACTTGGAGATTAGAAACTGCTCCCTGGAAGCTCCTCCGGAGTTCTCAGAGGCTCAGTCTTTCACTGGAGAGCTTCTCCCACGCAGAGAGGACCCCAAACGTGGCAGAGCGTGTTCTCGTGTGTATGTGCATCCGTGGGTACAGCAGACTTCAGAATGTGGCGAGAAATGGGATTCAAGGATGTCTTAGCACGTGCTTTCCTAACATGCGTCTCTGAGGTTTTGAACCCCCCGTGTGTATGTGTGTACTAGACATACATGTACACGTGTACACTCACCTAAAAAAGCACGCACAGGCTTCAAGCACATTAATAGTGCTAGAGAAACGGAGGCCAGCCTTCGGAGCCGAGGTTCTCCTGGGGCAGGGCAGCTGGCGCCCACGGCGGCTGCAGGCTCTCTGAGAGTGCACAGGAAGACCGGCTCACGGGTGCCCAGGAACTGTGGGAGCTGGCCTGTGGCCCTCTGGGAAGGGCAGGACTGTGGTTTCATTAGGGTAGGTGGAGACTCAGGTCTTCTTGTCTCTGTGGGCCCCTGAGCCCAAGGCCCTTCTGTGTCACCCTGTACTTTAAACCTCAGACTTGTCTTTCTGAGGATTGCTGCGGGCTTTCCTGGGCTGCCAGCCCTGAGGTCCCGGGCAGGAGCTGAGCAGACACCACGCGAGTGGCCCATTAGTTGCACTCCCTAGAATACTGCTTAAAATCACACTTGCAAATAGAAGACTGCTATGTTTCTGCATCTGGGAGAAAGGTTTAAAGCCATGAAATGTTTTGCATACCTCTTTCCTCCAACTCCCCAATCTCAAAACCAAGAAGTAGTGGGTTACCCAGTACCCAGGCCAGGCTGAGCGTGACCGACGGGTCCTCAGAGCTGTTGGAGTGCCGACTGCCTGGCACTGATCTCGGCTCACACAACCTTCTGTGTTTGGAGCCCTCTTGTTTCCGGAGTCCTCATTCAGAGGGGCCTTCCTGCGGGCTCCTCTCTGTTTTCAGCACACCAGAGGCAGCCTCAGCTCAGTGTCTTGCTGTGTGTTTGACCTTAGGAGGGTTACTTTGCTCTTTTCAGTTTCCTCACAGGCGCTCAGCACACGGGCAGGAGCGCCGAGCTGAGCAGTCCGCACTCGGTTTCCTGCTCAGTGTGGCACGTGCTCTGCCATTGGTCCACAGGGGAGACTGACAAATGCTAATTAGCACCTTGCCGGTGGTAGTGTGGTGTAGGTGTGCTCAAGGGTCGCCTGCCACAGATGCTTAGCGCACACCCGTGGCTCGCGGTGCACCTGGCAGCTGCCCTGGGTTCTGGCAGGCTCTGGACTGGCGCGTGAAGAAAGATAATTGCCTCCCTTCTACGCCGTCTGTTTCTGCTCACCTCCAGACAGGACCCCAGGCCCACCCGCGGGTTAGAGGTGGTTCCTTGCTACCCAGGACTCCGTGTCTGGATTCCCTGCATGGGCGCGGCATTGCCAGGGCTGCCACAGCCTGTGTACCTGCACGTTCAAGACCAGGGGCGTCTGCTTTGCTGACGACTCCGCAGATGCCGGCCCGTTTATTTGATGAGGTTTCTTGGGGACTGGCCCCGTGAGGCCCCATGTCCTTCCTGGTGACTTTCTGGGGCTGCACAGGCTGTCTGGTCACCTCGGCCTCGGGGCCATTCCAGCCACCAGTCGGCGTAAGGTGTGGCACGTAGGCCCGCTGGGATGCGCAGCTGTCCTTGACGTGAGCACATTCTGAGGCCACGCCACGCCTGGTTATCTATTCTATTTACGAGCGTGTGTTTCTGAAGGATAGACTAGCGCGGATCGCTTTGTTTACACGGAACTGCTCTAGGAGGGTGAGCAGGCGGGGCAGCTGCTCCCGTGTGGCGGGAGTAGTCCTGTGGCCTGGAGGCTGCCAGGACACTGTGCCTGGTCGTGCTCTCAGGGGCGGTGAGGAGCAGGACCCTGGGGCCCCGCCACGGGCCTGAGTCGTGGCTTCCTTGTGGGAGCCACACTGCCCTGGGTGCCGTCCTGCGCAGCCGGGCTTCCTGGACGGCTGCTGTCTCCATGTTCACGAGGCAGAGACTCTGCAGAGGCCACAGGCCTGGCTGGTCCCCGGGCCTCTGGATTCAGCCCCAGTTGTCTCCCTGCCTTCAGAAACGCTCTGCCCAGCAGCACCCTCCCTAGCCGTGTTCACTTCCTGCGCCGGCTCTCATCCTGGGGCCAATTCTCATCCCCAAGGCCGGCTCGGCTCTCATCCCAGGGCCGGCCCTCATCCCGCAGCCGGCTCTCATCCCTGCAGCCCTGGCTTCCGCCCGGCATCGCCTTCTCGCCGGGGCCAGCCGCGCTGCACGTCTGCTGGCCTGGGCGAGGCAGAGAGCCCACGGTTCTTCTCTTCCCAGCTGTGTTGACTGGCTGTAAGGAGAAGGAAGGAATGGAAAGGCTGCTTGCCCACAGGTACGTTTTAAAGACTATTTCATTCTTAGAAAGAGGCCCTGGTGCTGGTCTTGCCGAGGCCTCAGGAGTAAAGATGACCTTCCAGTTGGAGCCACTGTGTGTCAGCTGCCTCCTGTTTCGAGGTCGTCCTCGCTTAGAGTCTTGGCTGTCTTAAGACACGGCTGCACCCGGTTTCCACGCACCGGGACTCTGAGTGTGCAGGCCGCTGCTCTGGGGATCCCGCTGAACTCGCCGCAGAAGACAGATCAGGGGTCAGGGAGGAGACGGACTCGAAATTCCCGACTCAGAGGCCCATCTCGCCAGGGTCGGACGTGCCAGCCGTTTGAGAGGGCCACCTTAATTTTAGTTTGAAATCAAGACTGAAGTAGAACTAGGGCACGGAGGTAGCTTGGGGCTCAGTGGTTCAGAGTGGAGCCCACCTCTCAGGCATTCTGGAACACCGAGCCCGTGACCGTCTGCACGTTTGGAGCTGAAACATCCCAGAGATTGGAGATGGGGTGTTGGGTTGGAGGTTGAGGGTGACATTTCTGTGTCTTTGAATGAAAGGATAAGCATTTTACATGCACAGAACTCAGTCTTAGAATGATGGCTGCCCAGCAGGCTTTGGGAGTTGGAGAAGAGCACTTACCAAGCACGTCTCTGTCCTGTTTGGGAGTTGGAGAAGAGCACTTACCAAGCACGTCTCTGCCCTGTTTGGGAGTTGGAGAAGAGCACTTACCAAGCACGTCTCTGTCCTGTTTGGGAGTTGGAGAAGAGCACTTACCAAGCACGTCTCTGTCCTGTTTGGGAGTTGGAGAAGGGCACTTACCAAGCACGTCTCTGTCCTGTTTGGGAGTTGGAGAAGAGCACTTACCAAGCACGTCTCTGTCCTGTTTGAGTTCACTTACCAAAGCCTAGCACTGCTGCCTTGGCGTTTCTTGACTAGACAGTGCTGGGGCCCAGGATGGGACCCCTCGGAGACGGGGCCGCAGGGAGCATGTCGTACTGGAACTGGGCCCTGTGAGAGGGAGGCTCAGAGTGCGGGCTAGGGCTTTGTCCCTCCTGACGCTGGGGGGCCACCTGCATGTGAAGGTGTGGACGCTCTTACAGTGTAGTAGCATCGGGCTGACAGGAAAGGAGCCAGAGTTGGAATAAAATGCGTAAGATAAATAGGACAGGTGAGATGCCAACTCACCCTTCTCTTTTTAGGGTTCAGAAAGGAATGAGAAGTGGAAATGCTGCACTGCAGCCTGTGGTTGCGTGTTGTTCCACGCC